TCCATACCAGGCCCGTGGTGCCTGTTTTAGACCATACAAGGCTTTGTGAAGTCTATATACCCTGTCTTCCTCCCCTTTAGCTACAAAACCATCAGGCTGCTCCACATAAACCTCCTCCTCTAGAACACCATTTAGAAAAGCCGATTTGACATCAAGTTGATAGAGTTTCCAACTCTTTTGTGCAGCCAAAGCTATAAGGGTTCTGATTGTATCTAATCGAGCAACAGGAGCAAAAGTCTCATTGTAGTCTATTCCTGGTTTCTGGGCATATCCCTTTGCAACAAGCCTTGCCTTGTTCTTTTGCACAGTTCCATCCAGATTGAGCTTGGTTTTAAACACCCATTTTACTCCAATTACAGGCTTGTTACTTGGCCTGTCTACTAACTCCCAGGTTGCATTCTTTTCAATCATGGAGAGCTCATCCTTCATAGCATTCATCCAAGATTCATCCTTAACTGCATCTTCAAATTTCTCTGGTTCTATAATGCACAGATTGCATTGAGCAAGTACATCATCCAGCTTTCTCCATTTTAATGGAGTATGATCAAATGCCTGAGTGTCACTCACACCTGCACTTGACTGAGAATTGACTTGTGTATCATCAATACCACTTGCAGCTTCTTCCAATATGCCAGGTGATAAACCACTTGAACCTTGAGTGTCATTTTCTGTATTCCCACTTCTTGGTGTATCCACAGTGTCAAACTCATAAGTAGGCAGTGACATATATCTTTCTGTGCTTCTTTCCCAATCCCAAGCTGAGTTTTCATCGAACACAACATCTCTTGACAGAATCAGTCTCTTAGAGAGTGGAACAAATACTCTATAACCTTTCTCACATTTTGCATATCCAACAAAGACTCCTTTTATACTCTTGGGTTCTAGTTTGTGTCTTAACTCGGATGGAGTATGAACATAACAAACCGAGCCAAAGACTTTCAAATGTGCAATACCAGGTTTCCTTTTGCTGTAAGCTTCAAAAGGTGTTATACTATCCAGTGATTTTGTAGGACATCTGTTTAACAGATAGACAGCAGTGTGCACAGCTTCTGCCCACATATAGTAAGGCATTCCTTTATCATGAAGCATGGACTTGGCCATTTCAATCACTGTTCTGTTTTTTCTTTCAACCACTCCATTTTGCTGTGGAGTGTAAGAGAGAGACAGTTGTCTTTGGATTCCCTCTGAGTCACAGTATTGCTTGAATTCATTTGATAAGAACTCCCCTCCTCTATCACTTCTTACACATTTTATCTTCATTCCACTTTGCAACTCAGTCATAGCCTTGAATTTCTGAAAACAAGCAAAAGCTTCAGATTTGAATCTAAGGAAATATACCCATATCATCCTGGTTGCATCATCTACAAGCAACATGAAATACTTGTTTCCTCCAGTAGACTCGATTCTCATCGGTCCACACAGATCTACATGAACCAATTCAAGTGGAGCACTAGCTCTTTGTGCTTGACCACTAGGAAACCTTTCTCTGTGTTGCTTACCATATTGACAGCCTTCACACACTTTGTCATACTCATCTAGATATGGTAATCCATGAACCATGTCATTATCCTTCAATTTCTTGATTCCACCAAAGTGTAGGTGGCCTAATCTTCTGTGCCAAGTCAGAGAACAATGAGCAAAACTGGTCTTCAACACAAGTTGTTTCTCAGGCCTTAGAGATAGAGGATAGCACCTGTTTTCTTTCATTTTTACACAGATAATTTGACATTTCAGAGAAGGACCATCAAAAACAGTACACATATGTCCACCAAACACAAGATAATATCCATGCTCATCCATTTGTCCTACACTTAATAGATTCTCTTTCAAACCAGGTAGGTACATGACTTCTCGAATGTATTTTCTTCCTCTGTTAGTCTCAATTTCCAGTGATCCCATTCCTGCCACATTAACTAACCCTCCTGTTGGCATTTGAACTTTCCCTGCAACATTTGTATTCACATCAACAAGAAGATCAACATTTCCTGTCATATGATTACTGCAGCCACTATCTATGTACCAATCTCCATTAACCTTAGTCTCAGCAACTGCAGAATTTACAAAAAATAAGTTTCCTGTTACTTCCATTTGGCTTGCACAGTTTGCCTTTGGAACAGACTTTCCAACAGTACACTCTCTGGCCCAATGACCAAATCTATCACAGTTATGGCACCTGGATTTCCCCTTATATCTACATTCACCATAATGAAACTTTGAACAGACCTTACACTGAGGTTTTACACCCTCTTGACCCATAATCTGTGAGGAAGTACTATTCTGTGCAACATTTGTGAATGATTTCTGCTGAAACTTTGGTTTCGAATCCCATTTCTTACCTTTTTGATTCCAATTTTTATGTGGTTTAAAAGTACTAGACTGAGCATAACTTCGATTCTGCCCTTTTGAACTAACAGTAAGAGAAGAAAATGCTCTCTCAGCTACATCTGAGGAATGCAAATCAAACCTCTGCTCTTGACTCTTCAATATAGCTAGTACCTCTTGCAGTTCAACAGATTCTAAACATTTGGTGTTTTCTATCACTAAGCATATAGGATCATATATCTTAGTGAGACTGATTAACACCTTCTGAACTAATCTCTCATTTGACAGAATTTCACCAAACGTCTTCATTTGATTTATCAAATCATTTAAACGAGTAAGATACCCAGTCAAGGATTCATCATCACGCATTCTAGTGTATTCAAACTCTCGTCTAAGGTTCTGGAGTTTCACAGATCTTACCTGATCCCCACCGTGATATTCGCCATATAACAGATCCCATGCCATTTTTGCTGAGTCTGCGTTTGCGATTCGAGGGAAAATCTGGTCAGAGACTGCGTTTTGAATGATTCCGAGAGCTTTTGCATCTTTCATGAAGATTGCAGCCATTTTCTCATCATCGTCAGCATCAACATCTGTATCTTCATCAGTCTTAGCTTTCTTCTTCTTCGAATCAGAAACCGGAATCCCATTTTCCACCAGATTCCACAGTCCATATGACTTGAAAATTGTAACCATTTTGATTCTCCAGAACTCGTAGTTCTCACCGGAGAAGATCGGGGTCCTCACTTCAGCACTCCCAGATCCAGCCATCGTGAGCTTGTGTGAATCCAGAAACACGTAGTTCTTAGATTACAGATAAGCTCCGGCAAACTTCACCGAGTCCAGAAACGGTGATGTTTGAGCTCACAGAAAACACGCCCAGATCTAATCGAAACAAGGCTCTGAGGCCATGTTAGTGTTACTTGATTTTAGCTGGGTTTAATTTTCTAGAAGGCTGAACAGAAGCAAGAACAAAAGACAGAGGAAGCTGAACCGAAAAAGTTTTCTTTCTGTTCTCTCTTGCAAAAGTATTGCAGAGGAATAATCTTTTTACAGCACACACAATGTGCACTCACACTGCTTTACATTTAATTTATGGCCTTAGCTTTAGGACCACACAAAACACTACTTTTAATCTTAGTCACTCATCAACCTAAATACATGGATCAAATACCACATGGCACTCATGGCCTTACATCATTTAACCTTACACTTGGCAGATATGCTCAAGTGAATACACACATTAAAATTCATCTTATTTCTAATACTTAATCAGCTAGAGACTTATAATTCAACAAAGGCAAGGTTAAAAGCATAGAAATCCCTTAAACCAAGACCTCTTTCGTGTTTAGGCTTGCATAAGTGACGCCAATTGAGCTAATGGATTTTCCGCTTGCCCGGATCACCGCTCTACCAAAATTTTGCAATCATCATGTTTAATTCTTCACATAAGAATTTGGGAAGAAGAAAACATTGCATAGAATACATAGGCAAGGCTTGTGCCACTATTTTCACTAACAATTCTCGTCCCACGCAACTCAATAAGCCACCACACCAAGTTTGTAGTTTTTTTCCAAAGCCGATCTTCACATACGATAAAGTTTCCTTCTTGACTTCCTGACTAGCACTGGTAATCCCAAATACTTATCATGAAGGTCCAATCTCCTCACACCAAGACAGTCAGAAAGTAGTTGCTTTCATAATTTGTGAGATTGGGACTAAAAGAGACACAACTCTTTTCAAAGTTCACTGCTTGTCCGGATGCTAATTCATACGTACGCAATACCTTCCTAATATTCTAGCACTCATTGAGCGTACCCCCGAGCGAAAAGAAAGCTGTCATTTGCAAAGAACAGATGATGAATACTCGGAGCTGGGCAACACACCTTGATACCTTGCAGATCCCCATTGGATTTTGCCTACGTAAGGAGAGCCGAGAGGACCTCGGCACATGTAACAAATAAATAGGGGCATAAAGGATCCCCTTGTCGAATTCCCCTTATGGGATGCACATACCCTACCAGATCGCCATTCAACTTTAGGGAGACTAAATTTTTAGACTAAATGTTATAAACTAAATGACATGAAAGTTAATGATTGGAGTATTACTTAAACGTTGATAAACGTGCTTATTTCCTATTGATGACACATCATTTAGTTTGCAAATTTTAATCTATAAATTTAGTCTCCCTAGCATTACTTTGAGTAATGCTAGAGAGACTAAATTTATAGATAAAGTTTTAGAAACTAAAGGACATGAAAGTTGTTAATTGGTTTATTACCTAAATGTTGATAAACGTGCTCATACATGTTGGTGAATTACCTAATGTCCACCTTCAATGCCATAAGCCCATTCAACCCCGATGACCGTTTAATCATTTAATGAGCAAATTTCGCAGCAACTAAATAATTATCAGAAATCAACCGCTCCGGAATAAAAGCAATCTGGGTGGGAGATATGATATGGGGAAGAATTAGCTTCAGTCTATTTGTTAATACCTTCGCCATAATTTTATAAAGAACATTACACAGGCTTATAGGGTTGTGTCAACTTCCTTAGGATTTGCCCTAATAAAACCATAGCACGGATTCCATTGCACACATCAGGACCTACAATCCCCCAGTGTTTTTGATAAAACCCGGGAGACATACCATCGAGTTCAGGTGCTTTGGTGGAATGCATTTGGAAGACTGCATATTTCTCATCCGTGATAGGCCTCCCAAGGTCGTTGTTCATCTCCTCTATTACCGAAGGTGTGATATTACATAAAATATCTTCGAAATTAGCAGCACCATTGGAAGTAAATAAGGTGGAAAAATAGGATACCACCACATCTTCCATTTCCTTACGGTCTTCATGCCATACCCAACCATCATCCATAAGACTATGCAGCCAATTCCTCTTTTGTCTTCTATTTGAATTTTGGTGGAAATATTTGGTGTTGCAATTGCCAAGTTTGACCCAATTTTCTTTTGCTCTGTCTCCAAAATAGCTCCTCTTGCTCAAGAAAATTATTTAGTCTTCCAATTAGCTCCTTCTTTTGCTCAATCGATCTTCGATAAACGGTTGATCCAAAATAGTTGTAAGTTTATCCTTGACTTCCCTAATTGCCCACGGCCCAGTCCTGGCAAGTAATTCGCTTGTATTAAAACAACTATAAATAATAGTTCAGTAAAGACTATGATAAAAACCAAGTTAGGCTAAGCCACACAATTGAATGCATAATAATGTGGATCAAACTCGCTATCTATGAATCGAATTTCTCTTTAAACCCTTACAACCTCTCTCTACCTTCAATTTTGCAGAACCTATCCATGTAGCACTGCCTCATGCCCAATATCTGCATTTACAGGCAAGGCAACCCCAAATTATTTCAGAAATCAAACCCACAACAGAACTTCAAAAGGTCCTCCTTGAAAATTTTGAATTCTTACAACTTAATGTCATTTTGAGAGCTGGAAGATCTACGGTTCTATGGGTTTAAAATTTCTTCGAATTTTTAGCTCTTTAAAAATAGAGATTTCTGCTATTTTTAATTTTCCTTCTTTTTTTTTAAATTTTTCTATCAATTGCTTCAATGAATTTTTATTTGATCTTTTTCCTAAAGTTTCGCATATTGTGAAAGACGTCAAGGAAGCGCATATTGTGAAAGCCGGCCACATTATTATAATTTCCTTGACTTCAGGTCAGCGTGGAATGCAAGGAAGCTGCTTTGCATATTGTGAAGTCGAGAAAAGAGGCCTTGTCGTAAGTTCATAACACACGAGGTGGATCAGTCTTTGACATTTAATCTCTCAGCATCTCATCCTTTTTAGTAATTGAACGATCATGGATTCAACGACCAGTGAAGGAGCCTCTTCCTCTTCCTCTTCGTCTACTTCTTACACCCATTCATGGACATATGATGTCTTCCTCAGTTTTAGAGGAGAGGATACCCGCTACAATTTTGTAGGTCATCTGTTCAACAATTTGGTTCAGAAGGGAATCAAAACCTTCATGGACGATGAGGCGCTTAAAAGAGGAGAGGAAATATCGTTGGGGCTTCTCAAAGCAATTGAGGATTCGAGGATTTCTGTTGTTGTCTTCTCTGAAAACTACGCTTCCTCGCAGTGGTGCTTAGATGAACTCGTTCACATCTTTCACTGTAAAGAACAACTGCAGCAGATGGTTTTTCCAGTTTTTTACAAGTTGGATCCATCGGATGTGAGGAACCAAAGAGAGAGTTTCGGTAAGGCACTTGCTGACCATGAAAGCAAACTCAAAGATAACATGGACAAGGTGTTGAGATGGAGAGAAACTCTTACAAAAGCAGCAAATTTGTCTGGCTGGTCATTCCTGGCCGACGGGTATTTTTCTGATCTCTATGTACTTGCAAACCTATCATTCAAATGTAAAATAAGCTTATTATTTGCTTCAATTCATAAGCATAATATCAAGGCTTTTTAGCCAAAATGGTTTTTTTAAGATGAGCATAATTCTTTATTTGGTTCTTAAATTTAAAATCGATAGAAGTGGTTCTTGAGATTGTCCATCATCAATCATGTTGGTTATTACGTAGTAAAAAAAATCTTTGTTAAATTGAGTGTATTTTTGTCAAATCAATCACTCCACTTGAATTGGTGGTTTCTTCAATTTAGCTGAGATTTTTCACAGAATGATCAAAATGATTGATGATGGACACTCTCATCAACCACTTCTATCAATTTTAAATTTTGGTACACTGAAGAGTTATAACAATTTTAGCAACTATTTTAGTTAAAAAGACTAACATAAATATATAACATTTGAGAAATGCTAAGGAGAACCTCTCAAAGTGGAACTTTCCATGAGCTCTCTCACACCTCATAGTTTAGTGTTAGTTCCTTTGCCAACATTAAAAAACATTGTAGCAAAAATCAGGTGGCAAAAAGTTCATGGAGAATCTCGCTTTTGAAATATTATCCTTAGCATCTTTCATAATATTTTGATATTATTCCATCACAATATTATAGGAAAACTTGTTTAAGTTATTCATTATTAGTATATGAAGCAAACACATATTGGAGAATATGATCCCACATCAGTAATATGATAAAATAATATACAACAAATATATGAGAGTTTGTACTCTTAATATTAGCGAGAATTTTTGTGGTAAAATCTAATACCGAGTAATAGGAGATTAAATTGAGACAATATCGGTAATGCTAATGGTGAATCATGTTCAGCCTATAAAATTTATCAACACATAGCTAAATGCCATTCATCTATACTTAATATATAATGCCAACAACCAATTTGAGGTCATGGGCTTCACCAAAAAGAATGGGACACAAATGACCCCCCAAATAAAAAAGTTCAAAACCAGCTGAAATGAATGCATAAAATAGTTCAGGAGTAATTTTGTCATAAAAAAAATATTTAATTTTTTTAGGGGTCTTTAGAAAAAGGCCCTTGAAACTCTTATTTTCCAAACAAAAATCCACATAATATTAAACTTCCAAATAAAACCCAAATTTCAAATAGAGTACCATGTAGACAAATATGTAACCAATTATCATCACATATTTACAACTTATGCCACAAAACTCTAGTTATGTCAATAAATATTATCACCCACCCTAATTATGATTAGCAATTAACCCCATATGAAAATTTTACCTTTCTTGTATGATAAATATTAGAAATATATATATATATATATATATATATATATTTAGCTATGTTCATAAACAATTTATGGGCACATTTTTTGTTTGGAAAGAAAAGTCCTTTGTACAATCAGTTATTTTGCATCAAATAATAATATTGTTTTATAAAACAACAAAAAACCAATTAATATTCTTTTATGTTGTAGGTAAATTATTTTACCTAGATTATTACATACATTAGGCATTTTTTGTTTGTTATCATATATGCTTGTTAAAAATAATTTATCTATATTTATATTTAAAATATAACTAAATTAATTTTGAATCAAATAGTATTTATTTTGTAGGTAAATTAAAATAGCAGTTCCATTATTTTGGGAAAGTTAAACAGTGCATAAATAATTTCGTAAAAATTAAACCAAGACAAATTATCTCCATTAAAATAAAACAGTACATATTCGACAAAAACAAAAATAAATAAATAAATAAATAAAATAAAATAGTAGATACATTATTTTCTTATAAGATTAAACAATAGGTAAATTATATTGTAGGTACATTATGTTTGTAATATAAAAAAAGAATTGAAATTCATAAACAAAAAGTAGTAGATATATTAATTTTTAATCAAATTTCCTTTATTTGTTGGTGAATTATTTTCATGCATTATTATATATATTGGGCATATTTTACTACTAATATATATATGTGTGGAAAATTTTACCTATATTATCATATAAAATATAGATAAATTTATTTTGAATCAAATAACATTTTTTATTCTATAATTAATTTAATTTTTTTTTTTTTTGAGTTGAAATGATAGCGACTTTATTAATGTCAAGAAGACGACATACAATAATGCAAGAGGGTACCCTGGAGTAAATTATTTTGCATGTATCATTATATATATAGGGCAAATTTATTACTAATGCACATGTCCAAATAATTTACTTATATTTTTTAAATATAGGTAAATTATTTTATAGTGCTCTTCCAAATTTTCATTTGGTAAGAAAATGAAAAGATTAAATTAAAATTGTCTAAATTTATGCAAATTTAAAAAACAATTACAAACTCTTAAGGAAAGTATAACATTGTTAGTTCTTTTTTTCCTTAACATACAATTTGTTTTGATATATTAATGCAATGATTACATTAATACATTTCTTTTTATTAATTTCTCCCTTCAAATCTGCATAGAATTAAATGTCTACATCAAAACGGTAATTAGGGGTATTTTAGGCATCTAAAAATGAAAAATGTGTAAAGGCAAACAAAATTAATGAATTTACTTATGTGGAGCCTAGTCATTGGGTTTTATTCAGATAAAAAGACTATGTCGGGTTTTATGTAAAGAAACTTGAGTTTCAGGGGCTAAAGTCATATTTTCAGTTTTTTTTATGACGTAGAATATTCAAATGTTTCTTCTAGCATAGTCTAATATTATTAATTTAGTCCAAATGTTTGACTTTCTTTTTCTTGAGTAGAGTTGTCACTTGAAATATTGATTACATGGAACATCCACGGATTTCTTCAGTTTAATTATAATAATATTCTTTTTTTATGCTTTTAAACTTGTAGGCATGAATATAAATTTATTCAAAAAATTGTTGAAGAGATTTCGGTCCAGGTTTTAGAGAGTACCCATTTGAATGTGGCAAAGTACCCAGTTGGAATAGAGTCACGTGTCAAACAATCCAGTTCGGTTTTTTTGGATCCTCCTGTCCTCGATCGCAAGCAATTAGCCCTCCAACGCCGTCAAGGACAAACCGAAGATCAAAAGCGCCACCAGCACCATTTCCTCTCCAGTCTCTCCCCCTCAAACCGTTCCTCTGACGCCGCACCGCCCGCAACCACCGCCAATTCTGATCAAGACCGAGATCGAGATCGCAGTCCTTCAATGGTGCTGCTTCCGCCCTTGCTTTCTTAGCTGGAAGATTTGTAGGATTCGCTTTTTTATGTATGCTGTGTTACTGATTGGTTTGGCGATGCAGGCACAAGATTGCAGGCAGCTGGAAACTCAGATGAGGAGGAAGGTGTGGTTGCAGAACGGGAAGAAGAAGAATCTGATAGTTTTGGGATTCACCGCTTTGTTTCTCATCATCGTACTATTTATAGTAGTGGTGAGAAGTAGATACGCGCCCGCTTAGGCTATGGAGGTCGCCAAAAAATAACAATACTTAACTACTTAAAATATGAGTAGGAATTTCTATTTAAATTTTTTCAAAATTATTCATTGTTAATTTATAGAATTTCATGTTTATAATTAGAATTATTCAAATTATAAATCACTTTATAATCTTCTACTCATCTTTGAGTAGTCAAGTATTGTTTGAAAAAAAAAAAGAATAATTTTTATTTTGCATTTCATTTTTTTAATGAAATGGAAGGGACTTTTGAATACTTCAATGAACATTTATTATATGGTTGTTCACTATGTTTTCCGTATGTTTAATACTTTAAAATTTATATCATTTTAATTTGCAATATATGTATCTCAATACAATTATGTATTTTGAAACAGGCCCGTTATGTACTATTGGCTTGGTAATTTAAATCAAATCCACACCATCTCAAAAAAATTCCAATCCATGTCAATACATTTGGGTCAAAAGTTGGAGTTGCAAAGGACAGCAAAGACTATATTTTGGCCATGTGGGTCTCAAATGTTTTTAGCCTAGCCTTCTATTGGAAATGAATTTTGTGTCAAAAACGAGTTATGTTTTGATTTATAACCTTTTGATCAGCTCGGTGGGAGATGGTCTTAGCTTTGGTTATTTTAGGCTCACATCATCGTATTATTTATACTGTGTTTGGTACTGAACCGGATAAGAAAATGGAAGGAAAAAAATTTGACAAATCTTTGTTTGTTTGATGAACTTTTCTCATATTTATACGTATTGAAAACCACACAAATTTTCAAATAACAAAGAAAAATAATAAATTCCATACATCAAATTCAAAATATTTTCCAATAACATAAAAGAAGGTTCACAAAACACAACTACAGTCATTACATTTCAAATTAATAGCTGTTTCAAATTGAGCCATTGTTCCGGGTTTGAAACAACCATTATCACATCGTAAATTCTTAACAACTGCCTCCTTAAGTATGGACAGCAATGCATCTTCTTCGTATTGTTTCCAAACTCTTCTACTTACTTTTGGTTTACTACTTTGTTCACTTTCCATTCCAATAATTACATACACAATAAGATAGTATACAATCAATTGTGCATATAATTAATAGAAAGTGATAAAAACGATAAGCAAATCATCACACAGGGAACATCCCTGAGGTAGACCTGGCATTCCTGTCGTGTTTTCCGTGTTCATGTCGTTTTCGTGTCATATCCGATATCTCAACGGATCGTGTCGTGTAACACCCATTAAAATAAACGAGTAAATCGACCCAATAATATTAACAGGTAATATGACCCGACCATTTACCCGTTAAGGAAAATATATTTTAAACCAATAAATATCAAATGAAAAACATAATACTAAATAAATATATACATATCATATTGTCACATCCTACTATGATTCTTTTCCCTGATAGTTCTCATTTACACCTTTCCTGGAATTATACAACTAATTTTTTTCCCTAATAATCCTCATTTGTAACTTGGGCATATCAATTAGAGTAGTTAAAATTATAACAAACAAGGATAAAGAGCTCATTTTATTGAGTGTACCAACATCAACAAAAACACTATAAAACAATAGTGGAGCATAATTGAGATTTCGCTTGTCAAAACAAAAGCAAAATAAAACAAACTTACAATAATTCAGTCTTCAATCATGAGGTAAGAACCAAATCTCAATGTGATTTTTCTGCAATTTCCTAAAAAATACAAATAAAAGTAAATCCCCTAGTCAGAAAAGTAACCAACCTGCGAGCTTTCTAAGAAACTCCGATGACAAAATCAACATCATATTATTAGATAATACATTACACTGATTATAAAGCTTTCTAAGAAACTCCGATTAAAATATGATATTGAAACCTGCAAAGGACCCTGTAGAACAATGCCAATAACATGATTAAAATATGATATTGAAACCTGCAAAGAGATTGCTTAACAACTAATGGCAGAGAAGAAGGGAAGGGGTTAAGAGTATGTGGGCTTCTGAGAGAACATGGAATTGGAAATAGGGGCGGAGAGGCTAATCAAACCTAAACAAAACTTTGAAGACCCCACAGGGTTGGTCTCAGTCTCCTCCGCTTGTAGATCCGACACCATCAATTTTTTCCCCAGTTTTTGCCATTGTATATCCCAGATATCCAGCCAAAACCCACACGTACCTGGCATAACGACAGAGCCCCACCGTTAGTCACCGTTGGATAAGCTCGGGCAGTCACGCAGCGGCAGTCAAGAATCTCTCCTACACTCACCAGCGTTCATCATTGCTTGGTTAGAGAAGCTCACTGCTACTTTTGGTCGTCGTTGGGACTGAAACTTATTCTGGCCTTGTCGCGCAGCCCCTCCTTGGTCACCACTGGAGAAGCTCAGGTCACCGGTGGTCGCCGTTTCTCAGTGAGAGCAGCTCGCCGTTGCTCGTCGTCGGTCGTCGTTGGGACTTGAGACCTCCACAGGCCTTGTCGCGCACGCGGCGCCTTTCGCACGCACGCTGAACCCTCCTTTCTCGAAAGGGATTAGCGCTTTAGTTTTGACCAAATAGTTAAATTGGATAATAATGGAATAGAGAAGAGGTTTTTCGTCTAGAAAAGTTCTAATAATATAAGTGAAATAGAATTCAACGGTACATATTTATTTTCATTTATCTTACGGCTGTTATTTAAGTAGAGTCTTTAATTATTTTTTAATTAATGTAGAAGTGTAAAAAATATAGAAAAAAAATATAAACGCTCGTAATGACAAGCTTTACAACGTTCGTGAAGAGCTTAACTTCGAAATTTGCCACTATAATCATATAAATCATAGATCAAAATTTAACTGTTGATTGTTGTTTACATTTACGCTTCATTTTTCTCATCAAATTTTGTTTTTTCGGATTTTCATTTTTGAAAACATGATCTATTAGAGGATGCATGAAGATGAATGGTTTAGATCGTTGATATTATGTTAAGAGTGTTATGGTTGGTGAAAATATTGCTTGATGCTTATAAAGTTTCTACAAACTATATGACATCGACTCATTTTTCAATTAACCGTAAATATCGAAACGTGATATCAAAGATTTGAACCGTTCATCTTCTTACATCCGCCAGATGATCATGTTTTCAAAAAAGAAAATTTTAAAAATGAAATTCAGTAAGAAAAATAAAATGTAAATGACAATAGACGGTTAAATATAAATTTCAGGTTTATGGATTATAATGTTGGATTTCGAAGCTGACCTCTTCATAAAAGTTGTAAAGCTTGTCACTCACTATGAGTGATTGTATAACCTTTTCTTTTTTTTTTTTTCATTTTTTACACTTCTACAATAATTATTATTAATTTTATTAATTTTACCCTCAAATAAAAAACATTATTCATGAGGGTTTGGAGGATTTTAAAAATCTAAACGATAATATAAGTGTAACCATTATCTACTTGTAGAGGAATAATGATGAATCACGAGTGTTTATATATTCTTTCACATTTTTCATACTTGTATGTATGTTTTCTTAGTTCTTGCCTATACAAATACTATACTAGTTTATTTTAATTTTGGACAGCAACATGTTAAGTAAAATTTATCCTAGTATAAAGAACTCTCATATAAAAATAAATAACGACTAAAACTTTTTTTTTTTTCAACTTATATAGAATAATAATACAAAACTATATATTTAATATAGAATATATTGTATATATTAATATGGCTATTGTATTTTATAATAAATCTTTTAGTAATTAACCTTTAAAATTATTATAATAATTTTTTTCTTAATAGGTCGAAACGGGTTATCCGCATGTATACCCGTTAAGAACCTGTTATTAACGGGTTCTTAACGGGTCACCCGATAATGACCCGATTAGTTATCGTGTTGACCCGAAACACGTTATTTTCGTGTCGTGTTAGAAACTGCCGGGACTACCCTGAGGACCTTCAGATGCTTCTTCATCAGCACCAACATTGACAGTAGTGGGTTGAGTAATTTTTGTTTTTGTCCATCTTCTGCATTCGATGGACCAGATTTAAGGTTGACATTTCAAACTCTGTAGCTCTGGCAAGAACACAAGGTCTAGAACATATAAGCATCATTTAATGGCAATCAATTGAGGCTAACGGGACCTCAACCAAGGTTAATATTGTAGGGTGTAGGATCATAATCCAACGGTTAATAGGTATACACAATTAATTTAAGGATTGTTTGGAAAATAAATAAGATTAGGATTTAGTTAATAGTAATAGCTTGTACCCCAAATAAAGTTAATATATTCCGGATTTTCTTGGGGAATAAGGGCTCATAATTCTATCCTATTTGGAATGAGATTTGGTGTATCCATTATTCTTGGACTGCAAGGATTCCTAATGATATTATTATGGGAAGATTCGTCAAGGTTAAGTCCATACAAATACAAGGCTAAGGTCTCTACTCACAACACAGAGAAACATATATGAATGCCCCATTAGTTCGAGTATGAAGGAGTGTTGAGTGTGCAGAAAACTTTGGTCAACTAACATATTATTGCGCAGGATTCCAATACGATTTCCACAATAAGGAGAAGTACATGGTTCAGCCTATTCCGCATAAAGATGGTTCATCTTTCCTACATGCCATATTTGAGTACTTTATCAATTGAGCATAATTTATGGATTCTTTCAAGTTAGTGTTTTAAGTTTCTCCCTAGAATTTTAAAATCAAGTTTGTGAAAAAAAAAGATGCATAATTGAAATTTTCTAGATTTTATTGGGATTGTCCAGTTTTCAATCCTATAATTGTTCCATGGTTGTTTTCGAATTTGTATGCATGACAGTATTCTCATGTTTTAACACTCGTGCCATACATGATTAATAGTATTTGGTTAAGTTCTTGTAAAGACAATTGCCTTTTCAGTTGTTTGGTACATACTATTTGGAAGTAATGATTGAAAGAATTGACATGGAGGTGTAAGCAAACCAACACCAAAATCTTTCAAAATATTTCGTACCCAAGCAACATTCGCTATAGTGTGAGCTAATGCTTTATACTCAACTTCTGTAGAGCTTTTGGAAACTGAATTCTGTCGTTTTGACTGCCAAGATATCGGATTGTTTCCCAAGAATACAGCATAACCAGTAACTGATCGTCTAGTATTGAGATCAGCTGCCCAGTCCGAGTCTAAAAATGCATTAAGATCAAGCACCATGTCTGAGGAATATAGAACGCCATGGTGAATTGTACCCTGAAGATATCGCAGTATTCGTTTGACAAATGCAAAATGTACTTCTGTTGGTGAAGAGATAAACTGATAGACTGAGTTAACTGCATATGCAATATCCAACCTTGTGAAGGTCAAATACTGCAATGAACCAACCAGGCTTCTATACATTGTGGGATCGGTCAAAATAATACATTCTGCATCAAGTAACTGCTGATGTGGCTTACATGGAGTTGTTGCAGATTTACAAGAATCCATTCCTGCCTTGTGAATCAAATCTTTAATTTATTTGGACTGATTCACAAATATGTCCCCACTGGTTTTGTAGTGAACTTGCAATCCCAAGAAATAGGTCAGTTTGTCTATAACTTTAAGCTCAAACACAACAGATGATGAAGTTTATCTGTGAGAATGATGTCATCCACATAGAGTAATAGAATTGTCATATCTAGGCCATCTGTTTTAACAAATAAACTTGTATTAGATGATGAAGCAACAAACTGTAGAGCTGTCAAATAACTAGTGAACTTAGAATTCCATGCCCGTGGGGCTTGCTTTAATCCATACAAGGATTTAATTAACTTGCACACATATGTAGGATGAGATGCATCTACAAATCCCTTAGGTTGTTTCATAAACACCTCCTCTTGTAAATCACCATGTAGAAATGCATTTTTGATATCAAGTTGTCTAAGATCCCAATGCTTTATTCCTGCCAAAGCTAGAATCATTCAAACAGTTGTATGCCTTACCACGGGGCTAAAAGTGTCTAAATAATCAATACCATGCTCATGTGAGAACCTTTGAGCCACTAATCGTGCCTTATATCTTGCAATACTCCCATCTGGATTCTTTTTAACCTTGTATACCCATTTACTAACAACTATTGCCCTATCTTTTGGAGGTGGTACCAAAGTCCAAATTCCTTGTTCTCTAAGTGAATCATATTCCTCTTGCATTGCTGCCTGCCATTGAGGCAATGTTGCAGCTTTTCTAAACGATGAGGGCTCTGAAGCATTAACAATCTCAGACAGAAAGGAAAAGCCCCTAACAAATGGTTCATCCTCAGTTAATTGAAGAGAATTTAGTTTAGGACAAGATGCAAGTAATGTTGCATAATTCTTTCTAGGCATAGTACCACTCTTTAATCTGGTTGTCATAGAGTGTGTAGATAACCCATTGTCTGTAGATGAATCAGATTGCATAGAGATATGAAGAATTACCTCGAGTTGTGTGGGTGAATGGACATGCAACATTAATGATGTACCAGAGTGATGATGCTGTTGTAATTTTGCATTAACATTTGAATTATACTGCTGTGAATCTGAAATCCCTTCAGTACCATTGGAACACACAGTTGTATTGCTTGAATCAGTAGTGGCCACTGTATAAACCACCTGTGAACTTTGGTTAGTGCTTGCCGAGTTTCCAAGTGTATCAGGTAAGCGAATTACAACATGAAACTGATGTGCTGATTTATGATTTGATATACTCCTGGAAACAGACTGATATAAAACATGTAAAGGATATACCTTTTCATCATGTATTACATGCCTAGAGACAACAAACATTTTGGATTTAATATCATAACAGATGACCCCCTTATATCCCATAACAAAACCTATAAACACACATTGAATGGCTCTAGGTTGTAGTTTATTTGCATTAAAGGGCCTCAATAATGGATACACAGCAGTTCCAAAAATTTTGAGATTATGCACTTCTGGATTCTGTCCAAAAAGAACCTGATAAGGTGATTTCAACTCTAAACCTTTACAGGGCATTCTATTAATTAGAAAAGCTGCATGTGAACATGAGTGGTACCAGAAAGAGATTGGAATGTTTGCTTCTATCATCAAAGTCAAAGCTATCTCAACTAAGTGTCTATGTTTCCTTTCAGCAACCTCATTTTGCTGAGAGGTATGAGGACATGACACTTGATGAGTAATTCCTTGATCTGGCAGAAAATTCTTGAACATGTTACTCATATATTCCCCTCCACCATCAGATTGCAGACATTTAATAGTGGTATTAAACTGATTAAACACAAAATTGTAGAACTTGACAAATACTGAGAAGGTATCTGATTTATTCGTCATAGGGTAAATCCATACAATCCTAGAGAAATCATCTATAAAGCTAATGTAATACCTATAGCCTTCTATAGATTTCTGAGGTGAAGGACCTCAGACATCTGAATGTATCTTTTGAAATGCAGATTTTGATCTCTCTTGGTTTACATGGAAAGGCAGTTTGCTCATCTTGCTTTGAATACATGCTGAACATATAGAAGGAGATAAATCAACACTAACTGGTAATTGTGCACTCTGTAACATGACGCTTAATACTTCTTCTGCAGGATGTCCCAGTCTCCTATGCCATACTGATGTCTTTATTTTCTTCCCTAAGAACGCAGCACACTTTCCCAACTTTGCAGCAAATGAATGAGAAAACACACTGACTGGTATCTTGAACAGCTCACCATCATCACTCTTTCCCTGGTACAAAATCACTCTTGTTGCCTTGTCCTGTATAAAGAAGATCAAATCATCATAGACAAACCAATAACCATTATCTCGACATAACTTTTTAACTAATAACAAATTCATAGTTATTTTGGGAACATGTAATACATTATGCAGAATACGATCATTAGATGATGTTCGTATAATCGAAGATCCAATATGTTGAACTTGCAAACCTTCACCATTACCAACAGTGATCTTAGCATCACCATTATAAGGAGTAGCCTGATTGATGATATCAAGATTAGCTGTCATGTGGTAAGTGGCTCCTGTGTCCACTACCCATATATCATCTGTAGAAAAATCATGAACAGTTGAATTGGGACCAATACCATTCGATCCGTGAGCAGTCATACCAGCAAGTGATGACGGTGATAGGGGATTCCCTTGATATGAGTGGTTGTTTCTGTGGTAGCAATCCAGTGCTATGTGCCCATTTTTTTCCACAAATTTGACACACATTCCCATTTCCAAATGATTGATTCTGATGTTGAGTACTTCTGTAATAGCAATTAAAGGCAATGTGCCCTCTTCTAGAACATATCTAACATTCTGGTGACACTGGTGACCTGTAATTTGTATTACCCTGCCAACTACTACCGTGTCTTGAACCATTTCCAGAAAAAGATCCATTTGAACCATTCCCACCAAAACTGGTTTGAGAGCCTCTAGTATTTGAATTATCTCCTCTGTCAAAAGTAGAACTTCCTGTCTTATCCCCAAAATTAGAACGGAAATTGTTGTTGTGATGTCCACAGTACCCTCTATTATTGTAGTTGTCGTAATTATTTCGCTGCTGTGGCTGAAATGATTTTCCCCCATTTCCAACATAACCAGATCCTCCATCAAAGTATACTTCTCCCTGTGATATGTTAGAATTAGTGCTCTCTCCGTGTTCATACCCTTGAGAGCCTTCTTGATATCGTGAATTGTTAGACTCATCTTGAACACACATAGCTGACACAGTGGATGACAGACTTGTAATCTTGGATTCTATGTAAGCCTCAGCACCAAGAAGCTATGCTCGAAAATCTTTTAGAGAAATTGACGTATCCCTAGCCAACAACACTGTTTTAATAACCAAGGGAGATGAAAACCACTAATCGTGCCTTATATCTTGCAATACTCCCATCTGGATTCTTTTTAACCTTGTATACCCATTTACTCCCAACTATTGCCCTATTTTCTGGAGGTGGTACTAAAGTCCAAGTTCCTTGTCCTCTAAGTGAATCATATTCCTCTTGCATTGCTGCCTGCCATTGAGGCAATGTTGCAGCTATACTAAATGATGAGGGCTCTGAAGCATCAACAATCTCAGACAGAAAGGAAAAGCCCCCAACAAATGGTTCATCCTCAGTTAATTGAAGAGAATTTAGTTCAGGGCAAGATGCAATTAATGCTGCATAATTCTTTCTAGGCATAGTACCACTCTTTAATCTGGTTGTCATAAAGTGTGTAGATGGCCCATTGTCTGTAGATGGATCAGATTGCATAAAGATGGGAAGACTTACCTCAAGTTGTGTGGGTGAATGGATAGGCAACATTGATGATGTACCAGAGTGATGATGGAATGAGTGATATGCTGTTGTAATTCTGGAAATACTGCATTAACATTTGAACTATACTACTGTGAATCTGAAATCCCCTAAGTACCATGACATCCACTTTGACTTATCTGTTTTAATCTAGTATTTGTGAATCTTGGATTTATCCCTGTTGTCTATTACAATTTTCATTTCACAATCTTCAATTCACAATCTTTAATCCACAGACCTTATGAAATTTCATCGACTTTCACACAATTTCTCAGAAATTTTTTACGGAAACTCCCTACAGCAATTTATCAAACACCAACGGTGCATAAAAGTTCAAGAATCACCTGAGAAATCAGCAACCATGAATCGAAACCCCAATCTTGAATCAATAACCGTAGATGAAGAAAACCCAAATCAAGAAACCCAAACAAGGATCTTCAGTCTTTATGCTTCAGCGGAAGAAAAACGGCACCAAGGATCAACCTGGCTCTGATACCATGATAACCAAACCAAAGGAATTGAAATGAAGTACTAAGATTACAGAGAAGTAAGCAGAGAAAGATGAATGTTCAAGAGAGAGAGAGAGAGAGAGAGAGAGAGAGAGAGAGAGAGAGAGAGAGAGAGGGAGGGGTTGGTGGGGGGGGGGGGGGGGGGGGGGTGTGGGGGGTTGGTGTTTGAAGAATCTAATCTTTGTATTATCTTTAGAACACACAAAATGAATTACAATATGTTCTTTTATATCCCAAGTCCGTCGGCTACAAGGTTAACTAATTCTTCAACAACCTTCTAACAATTCTAACAAACACTGCTGACATGGCTGTGCTAATATGGCTGGCTGATGTGCCATCCCAACATTACTAAGTTGTGAAGGTTTTTATGCAGCCGTTAGTTAGTTTAGTTTGTAATTCATGAAAATAAGGGAGCAACAAAACTTACTAGTTGCATTAAGGTATTGATTTAATCTTTAGTTTATGTTGTGAATTCCATAGAGTAACAAAAATGTATTTTTAGTTGCGTTCTAAGTACTAGGAGGATTGAGTTTTGTATTTAGGTTTTGTATTTCAGAACACATAAAGTAGCAGCGAAAGTCTTAAACTGCAAAAGTTTTGTGTCATCAATTTTGTTAGACACAAAAGTAAGTTGGTTCTGCAGTTTATTAGTTTCTTAGGAAGCATAAGGCAATCTTATAAAGATTGATAAGGAAGACCAAGTGAATGAGTTAACGCTTTCAATTTAGGTTTTGATTCACTTAACTACCAAATTGGAGTGGCCTTCTATGTGGAAGCCCAACAGCCCGTATAAAGGGGCCTTTTTATTTTGGTCCATTTGAAAAGCCACGGTTGTGGCTGGGGTTTTAATTGGCAACAGCAGCTGCCCGTGTTTAAGAGCAGCGGAGAAAAAGTAAAAGGCGTGTCGCAGCCCTCAGTTGAAGAAAAGAAGAAAGTGCTCCTCTCCTTGGTTAGCAATTATCCATCAAAGTAGTTGTTGTTGTTACAGTTTTGGTTATGTATAGAGAGGAAATTATTCATTATATTTTCTTCTCTATTTGTTTCTTTGGTGTGTGAGAGTTATTGGATGTAATGAGTTTTGGGCTGTGAGATTGCCAATACGTTGTAAACTCCCATTTGGTTGATAGTGGATTATTGAATGAGCTTCTACTGCTCCGAGAATGTACTTCAATTACACTAATTGCTGAGGAACCTCGTTAAAATCTTAGTTTTTTTTTATATTCTGTTCTTGCATTTTATTTTGATATATTATCTGTGGGTTAGCTTGAGTTGGTTCCAATTCGTTTGGTGCTATCTGTGGCCGCATGCGTATGATTTAGATTGAAAAGTCTCGATACAGGACTACCAATGTGCATACACACTATACATGGTATACTTTTACGTCATGAATTATACTCGGAATTCTGCGGTTTCAAGCGACCACAGGTTTTTGTCGTTTGCGGCCTCAGATTACGGATTGACATGAACACATGTGGCCTTGGTTCACCAGATCACGGAAAGAATGCAACAGAATGACTTCACAAGGACTAGAGATTTAAATGACTTCACAAGCTCTTGACCTCTTCATGCATATGGTGGTTATGCATAATTGTTGAGAAAGGTAAAATAGATAAGAAATAAAAAATAAAAAATAACTGAAACTATCATCTGACTAAAAAGAATGGTCAAAGTTTTAAATTTCTGTTCAGGATTTTTCCTAGAACATGCCAATGGCTTGCGTGTGTCGCCTAATTATGGCTGTAGGAAGAACGGTCAAAGTTTTAAATTTCAATTCAGGCTTTTCCCAGAACATGCTAATGCATATTATAATTTCCTTGACTTATGGTCGGCGTGGAAGATGGCAAGGAAACTGCTTCGCATATTGTGAAGTCGAGAAAAGAGGCGTATCATAATTTCCTTGCGTATCATAAGTTCATAACACAAGAGATGGATCAGAACTTGACATTTAATCTCTCAGCATCTCATCCTTTTTAGTAATCGAACGATCATGGATTCAACGACCAATGAAGGAGCCTCTTCCTCTTCGTCTTCTTGCACCCATTCATGGACATATGATGTCTTCCTCAGTTTTAGAGGAGAGGATACCCGCTACAATTTTGTAGGTCATCTGTACAACAATTTGGTTCAGAAGGGAATCAAAACCTTCATAGACGACGAGGCGCTTAAAAGAGGAGAGGAAATATCGTTGGGGCTTCTCAAAGCAATCGAGCAGTCGAGGATTTCTGTTGTTGTCTTCTCCGAAAACTACGCTTCCTCGCAGTGGTGCTTAGATGAACTCGTTCACATCTTTCACTGTAAAGAACAACTGCAGCAGATGGTTTTTCCAGTTTTTTACAAAGTGGATCCATCGGATGTGAGGAAACAAAGAAAGAGTTTCGGTAAGGCACTTGCCCACCATGAAGGCAAACTCAAGGATAACATGGACAAGGTGTTGAGATGGAGAGAAACTCTTACAAAAGCAGCAAATTTGTCTGGCTGGTCATTCCTGGCTAACGGGTATTTTTCTGACCTCTATGTACTAATAAGCTTCAATTCATAAGCATAATATGAAGGCTTTTTAGCCAAAATAGTTTATTAGATGAGCATAACTCTTTACTTTGTTATTTAAGATTTAAAATAAATAGAAGTGGTTTTTGAGATTGTCCATCATCAATCATTTTTTTGTTATTCCGTGAAAAAAAAATGTCTGTTAAATTGAGTGTATTTTTTTGTCAAATCAATCACTCCACTTGAACCGGTGGTTTCTCTAGTTTAGCTGAGATTTCTCATAGAATGACCAAAATGATTAACGGTGGACACTCTCAAGAACCGATTTTAAATTTCACCAAAATAAAAAGTTATAACAATTTCAACAACTATTTTATTTACAAAGACTAACATAAATATATAATATTTGAGAAATGTTAAGGAAACCCTCTCAAAGTGGAACTCTCTTCATGAACTCTCTCACGCCTCATAGTTTAATTTTAGTTCCATTGCCAACATTATAAAATATTGTGGCAAAAAATGAGGTGGCAAAAAGTTCATAGAAAGTATCACTTTTGAGAAATTATCCTTATCATTTTTCATAATATTTTGATATTATTCCCTCACAATATTATAGGAAAACTTGTTTAAGTTATTCATTATTGGTATGTGAAGCAAACACATATTGGAGAATATAATCCCACATCGGTCATATTATAAAATAATATACAACAAATATATGAGAGTTTGCACTCCTAATAGAGAAATTTTGTAGTAAAATCTAATACCGAGTAGTAGGAGATTAAATTAAGACACTGTTGGTAATCTTGATGGTAAATCATGTTTGGCCTATAAAATTTATCAACACATAGCTAAACGTCATTCATCTATACTTAATATATAATGCCAACAACCCATTTGGGGTCACGGACTTCACCAAAAAGAATGGAACACAAATGCACCCCCCCCCTTCCAAACAAAAAAGTTCAAAACCAGCCAAAACAAATGCATAAAATAGTGCAGAGGCAATTTTGTCATAAGAAGAATTTTTTTTATTGTTTTTTTTATGATTAGTATTTTATTATTACGTGGAATATCCAGGGGTTTCTTCTAGCATAGTCTAATATTAATCATTTAGTCCAAATGTTTGACCTTCTTTTTCTTAAGTAGAGTTGTCTATCTGCACTTGAAATATTTATTACATGGAACATCCACGGATTTCTTCTAGTTTAATTATAATAATGTTCTTTTTTATGCTTTTAAACTTGTAGGCCTGAATATAAATTTATTCAAAAAATTGTTGAAGATATTTCGGTCCAAGTTTTTGATAGTGCCCATTTGAATGTGGCAAAGTATCCGGTTGGAATAGAGGCACAAGATTTCGGGCAGAAGGAACCTCAGATAAGCTGGAAGACTGGTTTGCAGAAGAAGTTTGAAATAGTTTGCAAATTCCTAGTCGCTTTGGATTTCATCATCTTCGTAGTATGTTGGGTCCGCATCGCCGTACGCCACGGTTTTTTTGACGTTTTATTTGAATAAATTGTAACAGACTTGCTGCATACTTAAAATTAACACACATTATATCCTTGTTTCCTATGTTTTCATTATATTCCAATACTTCATCATATATATGTCATTCTATTTTGTAGTTTATGATGAAATAATATATATTTTAAGTATAAGCAAACATTTATTTACACGAAATATAATAGATTTACTTAAATCCGTCTAGTTCGCTTAGGTGCCCCCCTAGCCGCCTGGGCGCTAGGTTCTAATCCACCACCCAACTAGCATCTATCGTTTTTTAGAACCTTGGTTGTAGTAGTAGTGGGAGTTAAATAGGCGTATGCCTACCCTATGGAGCTCGCGAAAAAAAAAAAAAAAAAAAGAATAATTTTTATTTTGTATTTCATTTTTTTAATAAAATGGAAGGGACTTTTGAATACTTCGATGAACATTTATCATATGGTTGCTCACTATGTTTTCAGTATGTTCTAATACTTTATAATTTATGTTATTTTAATTTGCAATGTATATATCTCAATACAATTATGTATTTTAAAACAAACCCCGTTATGCACTATTGGCTTGGCAATTTGAATCAAATCCACACCATCTCAATAAAATTCCAATCCATCCCATTACATTTGGGTCAAAAGTTGGAGTTGCAAAGCTACGAAAACTACGTAGCTTCTCGACTAAATCAATACTCAACTAAATCAAGTGATTCAAAAACGAAAATCATATTTCTTGACAAGATGAAGAGAATGATACCTTTTTAAAAGGCTAACTTTCCGTGGTTTGGCCAGAAAACGGCTCGAAAGTGGCTAACTCGAGACCAAGACCGCTACTTTCGAGCCGTTTTCTGGCCAAACCACGGCGATTTAGCCGTTTAAAAAGGTACCATTCTCTTCATCCCGTCGAGAAGTATGATTTTTGTTTTTTAATCGCTTGATTTTGTTAAGTATTGAAGAAGTTATGAACGTTTAAATCTACGATCTCCAATGAGGAGGAATTGTACCGATACTTGTGGATACAGTCCAGCTGTAGTGACTTGAAGTTCTATCTTAACTTCACATCTTGTTTGTTCCCTTGGCTTATGCATATGAGATTTTTTGCATTAGGTTCTTGAAACAAGGAAATTACTTTAGTCTAAAGAAGCTGGCAAAATTGCACTGTAGAAATGAACAGTGTTTTGCACCACATTTCAGTTTATTTACAGGATTGCCACTCGGTTGCTTTTAACACACTTTCGTTTTATTTACACAATTGCCACTCAGGCCTAAGAACTGATTTTCGACCGTTCGCAGCTTTCGACTCGGGGAGAGAGGGGAGGGGATATCATGGCTGACAGATTGGAGAGAGACGATGACTCCAGCTGGGTGTCGCTGTGTCGAGCGGAGAGAAAGGGGGACACAGACTCGGGGAGAGAGGGGAAGGGGACATCACGGCTGACGAATTTGAGAGAGACAGTGGCTCCCATTTTTGACTCGGAGATAGCTGGGTGTCGCCGTGGCGAGGGAAGAGAGGGGACAGAGCGACTACAGAAGAGGAGACATAGGGCCTGACAGATTGGAGACGGATGGGAGCTAGGGATTTGGACTGAGTGAGAGAAAGATTTTGCTAGCTCCTCTGCCAGAATCTATGGGATTTTCTCCCATTTTAGAGAGAGAGATGGACAGGGAGAGAGATACACAGCGGAAAGCATGGGTGTGTGTATTCTTTAGGGTTGACGGGTTACGCACAGAGTCGGTGAGGAGGGCATGCCTCAGGGACGAATGGCAGCGTCTGGGTTTTCATTTTTCTCCCTTGATTCAAAAGGTATTGCACTGCTTTTGTTTTCATTGTTTGGTGCCTAATTGCCATTTGATTTGTTAAAATTTTCTTTTATATTTTGTTCTTTCATTCAAATTCTAACGAATGTCTATAAATTGTTCAATTGGGTGCTAGATTATGTCTCTGTTTTTGTCAATTAGGATCTTCCACTGATTTAATTTGTTTTTTTCTTGATTACTTTTTGTGTGATTGATCTTTTTCTGTTTTAGAATTGTTAGGGATATTTTGTTCCTCCATTAAAATTGTCATAGATCTTTATAGATTGTTTAGCCCACCTTAGGATTTAACTTTTTTCAGTTTATTGTTTTTAATTGTTGTTTACTGTTTGATTAGCCATTTCATTTATTAAAATTGTCATAGATATTTTTTCTCTCATTAATGCTATCATAGATATTTTATATTGTTTACTTAACTATTAGGGCTTGCTCTTAGTCTTTAGCAGGTTGTTTAGATCACCTCTAGGATTAGCTATATGTCCACATTTTTCCTACAACCTAATCCATTGTGCTGACAACCATAATGTAGATAAATTTGTGCTGCTCCATTGCACATACGCAGTAAGCTGTGAAGTATATCAAATATTCCATAAGATTAACCAACGTTTGACAAGTTTAAGCAGATACACCAACAGAGAGAAAACACCTAAATTTACAGCAACATGAAAGCTTAACAAATAAAAAAAAAATTTCGTAAAACATATATAAGTTTACACAGTTTATTGTTTTCAATTTGCTGTTGACTGTTTGATTTGCCATTCCCTTTATTAAAATTGTGATAGCTCATTTTTCCTTCATTAAAGTTGTCATACATATTTTAAAGTTGTTTAGTTAAGTTTACAGCTTGCTCTTTGTCTTTGTAAATAAGGGGGCTACACTGTTAAATTGTCACGGCTAATTTTCCCTTCATGATAGCTGGTCATAGATATTTATAATTGTTTAGCTAACTATTACAGTTTACTCTTTGTTTTTCTAAATTAGGGGACTGCAGTATGTTGATATTTGTGTTTTTCAGAAATTTTTTTTCCTTTGCTTATGTTATGTGTAAACAAAATTCAGTCTCCTTTTTAACTTTATTGTTTTTTAATTAGGGAGTTTAGGCTTTTTAGCTTTCTGTCTTTATAAATAATGGGGTTACACTCTGCTCATTTGTGTGTTTCTTCATACTTTCCTACTATTTGCTTCTCACCAAATCACCTTCAGGTTCCTTTTCCACTTCACATCATTCGAATATCTCTATGTTCCTAGGTTGTTTTTCCATTTCTTGGTTGCTTCTGTATTTTTGGGATGCACTTATAAATTTTATTTTTCATATGCATGTAGATCCAGCAAAAGCATACACATCAAACCCCTCATTCACACAACAGCCACCAAAGAGACCATTACTGAGGTATTTCTCAATCCATTTAAAAATTTTTTGTTAACTTTTGTTAACTTTTATACAAACTAATTTCTAATATAATTCTCCTTACTGTGTTTGGATACAAACTCTTTTTCCCTCTAATTTTTTGCCATGTCATGTATACTTGCAGCTCAACCACCTGCAAGTTTTTGAGAAACAAAGAGCCTCATCCACAGGAATCTGTAATTCATAGCAGCAGGTATATCCTAAACCTTTCGTTATCATCTCCTTATTCATGAAAACTTTTTCCTTCTATTTTTTTGTTGATACAGTATATGGTGTCCTTTTTCTAACTTGGAGAGAATCATTTCGTATTATTTGGTAACAATGTTGTTCTTCAGCTGCAAAAATCATCCTTTTAATCCATTTCAACTTAGGCTGAACTTTACTTTCGTTTCAGCTTCATTTTCATGTTAATCATGTCCTGTTTGTGTGTGTTTTCTGTTGGCATTGGAGGGTGGTGCTTAAACTGAAAGCTCTGGGTTTATTTATTTATTTATTTTATTTTAAAACCAAGCCTACATTCTTTAAAGCCACTATTAGTATTTAACTACGATTTGAATTAATTGATCTGTGAGAGGACTGATTCCAAAATACATCTTAACAGCTTTATCCGGCTGATAATTCAGAACATTATCAAGTCTAAATGATTGGTCGTCAGTTAAACCCTTCTGAGATATACCCTTTGTTTGTTTCACTCTCACAAATTTAATCCGTTCCACCATCACAGTTTTTTTAGCTTTTACAATTTTCCCACGGTTTCTTGAATGCTTTTTCGATCTTAATACTATCTGCTCTGTTGCTTGCTGTTATCAAATTTTAAAAATTGAAACAACGTTATAGTTCTAACCAAAATTTGTCAAGGCCAAGGATGTAACCATCTTTGGTTTCACATTGGTAATTTGAATTATGAAGTTATGAGTGAATAAATTGGGAGTCTGAAATGTGTGTCTGCCACATGGGTTGGGTTGTATTAGCAACTCTATGTGAGTGTAGAGGTGAGTGTGGAGGTGGAGGTGGAGGTGGTGGGATGGTTTTGTTTTTGCGCCATCCCAAGACCAAGGAGAATGCATGTGAGAAAATGTGATGAGTTTTAAACTCATCACTCACTTATTAGTCAAGTCAACCATTTTCCACTCAACTCTGATCTGCCAATTTGCCAATTGGCATATGGTTTTAATTTCAATAGGTTTAAGGACTAGGTTTGGTTGGATTTCAACCATTAGATTTCGGATTAAACGCATTAGGTTGAACGATTAGATTTGGTTGGATTTCAACCATTACATTTCCTAGATTTGAAATCTGTTTACTATCTCATTTAATTGTTCTATGTTACCTCATTTAACTCAAATTTAATGATATTTGCTCCTCCAATTTCTCAGATTTCCTAACGGATTTACTTTCTTTGGAAATTTCAGGAACCCTGATTCTAGGACGAAGAATACACTGCATTGCCATCTTTAGGTATACAATTCTGCACACTGATTACATGTTCAAAAGCCTAATTAGTTATACACCATTTTTTTTTATTACCTTTGCAAGGCTTTTGTACTTAGATTTTAAATATGTGATTAGTTTATAAAGAATAAACGAGACAACTAATCATGGGTACATACTTCTTTTTCGATTTTATCCTCTGCATTATTTCTTGAATGAAATTGGTTTCATAGATGTAGGGATACAGCAACAACTGAGGTGTGAATGAAAGGTCTAGCCGTAACGATTTTAGGGTTTACAATTGATTCAAAAATATGAGAAAATGCTGCATTCTCTGTTTTTTTTTTTTTTTTTTTTTTTTTTTTTTTTTTTTTTTTTTTTGCTGTAGTGATTCCAACTTAGTATATACCCATTTTTATAGT